GGAGTATTCTATGTACACATGTTATACTATAGTAAATCAATATTCGATGTACAATGCAGTACACTCTACTGATGTTGAAGAGTCTCTTTCTGAGAACGACACCGCAGTTAAATCACAGCACCATTAACCACACGATGGACGAGAGAGATAGAGGTTCTTGTACCAAGTGCAGAGTACATTTCTCTCTCTATTACAGAGCTAAAAGTGTGAGAATGAAGCTGAGGAGAGAGTGAAGGAGCAAGGTGAGGAGGAGAACATGAGGACGAGGACCAAAGACAGACTGACTGAGAGATGTGCCATACATCAGAGATGAACTCAGCTTTATGCTTTTAAATGTTGCAAAAAAGAAAGTGGAAGGAATTCAAATATATGAGATATAAAAACTTCCAAATGTTGTTTTTTTAATCACAATTATTATAATCATGGAAGATATTTTTGTTTATATTATTGGACATTTTAGCAGAAAGACAGAGTGAACTGTAGTCCTGCATCTGTGGGTGTCATAAACACCAGTAAACACAGCTTATCTGTTTCCCTCCCCAACCATGTCCAGCCCTTACTGCAGCACCAGCTCTGGGCCTTTTAACAGAATGTACATCTGACTCCTGAATTCCAAAGCATATCTTCATCCCCTCTGCTCCAGTTACTGCCCTCATGCCATGTTCTTATCAGCCCCGTGGTCTCATGCCACCAGCCAGTATCATCTATCTGAATCAGGAGTCAGCGGCTCGTACAGCGTGTGCCTGTGGGTACGGGTTACGTGATTCCAGCCCAGTGCTCCTGCAGCCGTGTGTGCCGTGTGTCCCACACACTCTGCTACAGCAGACATGCAGGAGAGCAGCAGACACGCTCTTCTCATGGTGGTTTGTTACAGACAGAAGAGAAGAAAAACAAATGCTGTTGATGTTGAGTGGTTTGATTTCCTCAACAGCAGACGTCTGTGTGTGTGTGTGTGTGTGTGTGTGTGTATCACTGTTAGGAAACATTATCCACTGCATCTTAACACTCTTAAGTTGCAATCACCAGCAGGTATTTACCTGAGAGACAACTACAACCTCATTCTTTGTGTTTCATCCACTAAGTCAACTTCATCACAGAGTCACACGAAAAACTGAACAGAGCCGGTGGATTAATTGATGACTATGAAAGCAGTTCTTTTTCTTAAAGTATTTTTACATTAATATCAAACTTGCTTTTCCTCCTTCACCTTCAACACATAACTTAAAGGGTGATTCCGTGGGCCATAGGTGAGAGGATGTGGCTGAATCCAACCCTGATCACCAGGCACCAGTTTCCTCACTCTTTCAGCGACCTCTGCTCCCCAGGACTGAGCTGACGAGGCAGTGATTATTAAACTATGTGAAGAGTGGATTCACAGATTGACTAAAGAAGACACTGCACTTTCACACATAAAACATATTGTCGGTGGTGTGCAGAGGCTGGCAGTGACAAAAGCAATGTGACTGAAGATCCTCATCTCTGCTCCAGCATCTGGACAGTTAAAGAATGCAGCTTTTGTTTTCTTACACTTTGTCCTGATCTCTAACTGATGTTACACAAGACCAAGAAGAACTTGGTGATTTTGGCTCCTAAGAACGACATAGGAATGGATAATATACTTAGGTTTTCAGGAGAACTAACATCATTGTATTATTCAGTGTCTGTTATGGCTGAATTCTTACAGACATCAAGATTGAACACTGTGCATGACAGAGTTTGGTTCAAAATGTGGAATACTTGAGAAAAATCAGTCATTTGGCCAGACATCATCCTCTGTGATCCCTTGGATTCATATTTGGGAAATATCATGTTCCACAGTAATGGTTCAATAACTAAAACATCTCTCTGGTGTCTCTCACTGATTTGACAGGTTCATCATAATATATGAGCTGCATTATGTTTTATTTTACCAAGTTTTTTGAATTTCCTCACAATTCCACAGCAGCTGAGCTCCCAGGTCAGGTCTCAACCACTTTGTTTCAAGTCATTTCAGATCATGCACCTGTCTGAGATGCATGTGTTACAACCAGAGGCCTGACTGTGTTCAGCTGCCAAGACACCGTCCACTGTCAGCGCTGCAAATGAGCCATTTGAGCCATCCACAATCGGGCAGAATTGGACCAGTTAGAGGGAAGGATAATGGCACAGTGATTACCAAACTCTCAGCCATTACCATCCTTGTTTGCACATCAAAGAGTGGCAAACACAATGGACTTCCTCCCTCACACGGCCGACGGAAGTGGATCGCTCAAAGTTTTGGTTTTTACTTTTTACTAAAAAAAAATGTTCGTTTAAAGGACTGAGCTTTAGAAATACGAAGATTTACTAAACACTCCAAAAAAAGTCAGAGTTGATTTTATTACAGGCTCAAGGAGGAGAGAGCCGGACTTGAATGAAGATGACATGCTTCACTGGACCAAACAGCTCATGTGACCAGAAGCAACTGATCCCCTCACTCGCTGCTCGGACTCACACTGGAGGGATTAAACCTTGGCTGCGTCACACAGCCGCTAAAGACCACATTAAAGTGACACACCTGGACAGTCTGATATGAAAACATTATAAGATGGTAACATTATAGCCATTATAGTCTCCGTAGATGAGTCCAATCTCCTTAATGCTCAAAGTAAAATCTTCTCTGCCAGGTCTCAGGTCTGCTCCAGGTGACTGAGGCAACAAGCCCGCTATAAAACGCTCATCAATCACCGAGGCTAATCTCAGGTTCTCACTGACACTTTCATTGTGCCGGGCTTTTTCTATACGACTGCCTCCACATAATGCCCCCGTTCTGCCTACTTTGACAGGCCAGCGGCCCAGCAGCTCCCTGCCATGTGAGCTATTCTCAAGTGGCATTCCTTCTCTGAATTGAAGCGGCAATAGTGCCGGGGCTAATCTGGACATCTGGTTGCCTGGTGGGCAATGCAGGGCCTGGGGCTCAGACCCGGCACGTAGGTGATCTATGCTTAGCTCAGTGAAGAATGGAAAAAAGCTGCTTCGCTAGGTTTTCAGGGGATTGAAGGGACCAGTGGAAAAGGGTCTGCACTTTTCAATCGTAAAACCCTCCTATTACACCACGAATCCACAAAAAAAAAGCGCCGCTGTCCATCTCCAGTTCCATTAGCCTGAGTTCAGTCCAGCAAGTGACCCACAGCACTGACGGGACCTGAAGGGGGCGACGCTTCATCGCAGAGAGAATGTCAGAAATCTGTCATGTTTTCTTGGTTTTTCTGGTAAAAATTTCCTCCAGTGGGCTGATCTCAGATCGTCCCATTCAAAACTAAACACTGCAATTTTTGGCGTGTTTACCTTTCAATCTTCCATATCTATCTGTGATTCCTTGGCCCGAACTGTCCTGTTCCATTTCACAACCTCGTTTCTCGGTCGGATGTACAGATGAATGAGGAAGATAGTGTGCACACAGTGATTTCACGTTTTTCCCCTCACTGTTCCTATCTGGTCCACTGACCTGCTTGAACGCCACGCTGTGAGGTAATAATGCAAATGGTGCATGGAAAATATAAACAGTCGGTGTGGAGATATCCCTCGAAAATATATAAATATATATATCATATATATAAATAGATGACCTCTGCTTTTACAGCAGAGGGCAGTTGGTGATTTAACCTTAAAAAAAGCTGCAGAAAGGTTTCGGATGATAAAATCAGCAGCAGTTATTTTTCCTTAGAGTGAGGTCATGTGAGCAGTGCACCACTGAGAGATACTGTACATCACACTTACAGTCAGGCTTTTAATTCAGGTAAGTACTTACATTTTTATGCTTCAAGATTTTAAAAAACGCATCCCTGACATCACTGTCTAAAGATTCAAGACTTTTGTCTTTGGCGTGTCGCTTTTCTGATTGACTCACTATTGTTATATTTGTAAAAGTAGCAGGGTATGTTTTGATAATATGGTAGTAATGAGCTTTAGATATGCTTAAAAAACACAACAACAAGTTCTTGACTATGTCGTGAAAATATGCATTTTAGGTTTTTATAGTGAAGCAAATAGTTTGTTCGTTACGTTTGTTGCCTTAGTTTCTGTCCTGAACTTAATGAGAGGCAGTGAACCCGTACTTTACTGTCTCTAAGTTGTTTTAGTTAATTAACTTGCTGCAATTACTAAGTTTACTGTTTACTTCTAAAGACACAACACGGGTGAAAACTAAAGAACCGAGGTTCAAACCTGACTGGCCTCTCGTAGAGTCGTATGAAGGTTTGAAGCCGACTCGCTCAATGGTGAGGTAATTAATTATACAAATCCAATAAATACATAATAAAAAGTAATTACAAGTATCGATGAATATAAATTTGCAGTTGCAGCACCTTAACACAGTGAAGGACAAAGTTCAGTCTCATTAATTCCACAGTGATTTTTCAATCTGTGGTGTCTAGTTGTTATAAGGCCTTAAACAGTGGTAATAAACTTGTGGCCTGCGGGCCGAGTCCGACCCACTGAACAGTCTGATCTGACCGACGACTGTTTTGCAAAATAAACATGAAATAAGAATGATGGAAAAAAATGTGACGTGTCCGTGTCCTGACCCCTGTCCAGAAAATCTCTGGCCTCCGGATGTTGGAGTAGTGGTTCATGATCTTGCCTTACAGTAAGTGGATCATTTCTCAATTGTCCCAGTGTGAAAGGCTTTTCTCTGAGTTCTCTGGTTTCTTCTCTGCAGGATTAGGATCATTGTTCGCTCTGAATTGGCCATTAATAAGAGTGTGAGTGCCAATGGTAGTTTGTCTCCATATGTGTCCCTGTGTTGACACCACTGTCACCTGATGACAGCTGGGATTAGCTCCAGTGAGGATTAAGTGGTACAAGATAAACAAATACATCCTGGACTCCCTTTAACAAGCATGTCTGATAAACGTTTGTACCAGTGAGTATCATTGAAAGGTAGTTTAATGGCTGGTTTATGCCATTGTCATTAAGAGACGAGACTGGAACCGCAAACGTTATTTAGTCTTTGATTAGATAAATTATAGAGGAGGTCTGACCTTGGACAGAAACTTTTGGATGTTCTTTCTTGGTACACTCTGGTTTGGTCAGCGGGTCGATCAGTGGTGTGGCGGGGGTGAGGGTGGTCGTCAGAGTTGAGTTCTGTGTGAAAACATTCGGGAGGAAGAGAAGAAGCAGGAAGAGGCCAGCCATAGACGAGGATTTGGTGTCCTGCGAGGACGCTGTCATGGTGATGACCTCTCCTCTAACTGCCAAGGTGGGCCTCTGGGATACAGCTGCAGAGCGAAGAAGAACATTTATACAGGTTTTATATATACATAAAACGTACACTTTGATTCTTTGTTAATATATTCTCAGGTTGTTAATTAAATGGCAGGTAAAATTGAAAAACTGAAAACATTAGAAGATTTTTCTTTGTTTTTCACAAGTTGGTGAGGTAGATGTCAGTCACTTTGTGACGCTCAAAGAGGTGGTGGAGAAAAGTTGGGACATGTATTTACCTCTGTACATCAAATAAAATCACACTTTTAGAGCAAATCTGCTTAGATTTATCAAATAAAATAAAAACCCAGCGAATAAAACCCAGTCAGAGTCAGGACTTCAAGTCCACACTCTGTGAGAGTAGATGCAGTCCAAAGAGACACACTGCACAGAACACACACACACACACACACATGCATGCTTCCCAGAGTAAATGTAATCTCCCCCAGTCATAATGTATGAGTCCACAGTGTGAAGCTGAAACCAGCAGTTCATCATCCGGCCCCCTCTACATTCCTGACTCTGTTAGCTTAGCGAGGTGTAATATCATTAAGTAAACACTGCATCTACAAATGCAAAGTTAAAAATCTGCCAGACGAACCCCACGCTGCTAAATTGAAACAGGGTCAAAAGGTAATTGGAAATCATTTTAACACAGTGTACCAATTGTGCTTTAGATCAAAAGTGTGTTTTATTATACACTTTTCCTTATCTGCAAATATTATTTTTCTGATAAACAGTGTATATATTATGTACTGTATATGCAATATTCCCATGGCTGGAGGCTAAATGTATATATTATGTACTGTATATGCAATATTCCCATGGCTGGATGGCTGGAGGCTGCAGTAACTTTGATGTTTTTCTTCGGCTCAGTCATTGAAAGTATATTTAAATTTTAAAGTTGAGCGTGTGTGAAAGAGTGGGAGGCTGGGCTGAGGAGTGACATTTTCAGAGTAGATTGAAAAAGCGTTAGCATAAACTTTTCCTAATAACTTTGGCTCCGTTTCATCTCTCTGTAGTGTTTTCTCACTAATGCTTCAATCAATAACAAATTATTAGCCTGGTTGAGTTGCAAATCAAGCACACTGGCCTGCCATCAATTATCACTGTCACTACAGCTGCTAACTAATTAGGGCAATGATCGACGCCTATGTTTGTCATCACACAGAGGAGTCCACGGGTCTCCTGGGCACTGTCTACTGTGGATTGTACTGTGTACTGTGTACTGTACTGTGTACTGTGTATCCACTCAGGCAAACTGAAGTATGGGAAAAAACTTTAAAGCTTCGCTTTAAAGAAAATCCAATTTAACCTGTGAGTCCACACCTTTAAAATACACTCGTCCATCTCCACCTGACTCAAACAGCAGTGAAATTGATTTATTTAAGTCAGACTTAATGGTCCAGATCAGGGGTCCTGAACTCAAAGGAGCAGCGGTCCACTGCTGCTATTGTCACATCAATGGAGGTCCACATCAGTTGTATTTACTGCATAACACAACAGTGCAAAGCAGGAAAAAATAATAATAAATAAACAAAACAATTGAAAATAAATTTTTAAAACTCCACAGATAAATGATATTAAATAAATGATTGACATGTAGTTGCAGGTCGCGTTTGGAGGCTTTGTGGCCTGGATGTTCAATTTTCTATTGAACTGTCTGTTGAAAACAAGACATTTGTGAATAATTTAAGCATTAGCCAAAAGTGACCAAAATATTAGCAAAGACTGCTGAAGCTGAAGATTTTGTCCAAGGGGGAAATGAGGCCAGAAATGATAAACAGTGAATTAGCATTAAGCTAAGCAAAGGGTTGCCAAAAAAGAGAGAGTACAAAAATAGCTAAAAGGTAGACGGCTGAAACCCAAAGATATTTACAACATTTAATAAAACTGTCCCATCAAATACTGCGGTCACAGGAGCAAAAACAAAAAGTTGCTTTCTTTCCTGGTTGCAGTTTACTGAGAGGAAAAACACTGAGATCTCCTGAGATTTATCAAACCACTGCAGGCAGAAGTCAGACTTCTTGAGAGTTGCTGTTGTTTACTGAGCAAACATGAACTCTGGAGAGTGTCATCAAGATGGATCATGTGATCATGGCTAGAAGGGCTACAACCGACCTAATAACTGGTCTAATTGTGACCTAACTAAATTACTGCACAAAATTAAAAAATTACACATAGACCCAGTGCGGGCTCTTGACAGATTTCCTGCATCTGTACATTCACAGACAACTTCCTTCCTGCCCGCCTGTATATCTGCTCTTAATTTACAACATACTGTTCACTGTATTGTAGTTGTTGGGAAGACATTGATATATTGTATCCAGAGTGACATGAGCCTGGTCTGTAATAGGTACCTCCAGTTAAAGGTCTCCTGTAAAGACTGTAATCCTGCCCAACGACCAAGTAAACTAGCAGTTAGCTCTCACTGCCGTTTCTTCCTCCTCCTCTCTTAGGTTGTGTTACCTGTAACCCAAACCTGGGCTGGATCCCATTACAGAGCAAACACTGAGGTACACTTGATATAGGGCACCTGGACAAAAAGGAACTAAAGCAGTTTTGTTCATTTGGGGGGAAAAAAGTTGTAAAACACAACAAAATGTAAGAGAAAACAAAAGAAAAAAAACTTGATCATAGCCTGGTTTCTATTTTAAAAACACTTACAGTGAATCTGAGTAAATACATATTAATAGATAATCTTGTGAACCTTCCCTGCTTCTCTGTATATTTGATTGACGATAAATAGTTGGGACTTGAGTACGTGTCATGATTTATTGTAACAGATATTATTTGGATGAGGGATCGTGAGAAGTACAGCTCTGGCTTTTCTGAACATGGAAATGTGTCCATTTTATAAATACCTTAAGTGAAATATTTGACTGTTATTTGACTACTGCGACATTGGGCAGAAAGCAGAGTATAGTTAAAACTGTTGATGTTTACAATGTTGCTTAGAAATGTGTCATCACATTAATAATGAATTCTTCTTTTTGGCCTGTTTTACTATTTATGGACACCTCGACATGTTGACAGCATCATGCCAAAACACTGTTTTTTGTCTTCTGTTTCTGAGGCAGAGTCCATAATGTCAATGTGTCCAAAAGTTTTATATTAAAGTTAATATTAAATGATGTTTATATCACATGATATTTCTTTTTCTGATTGTTTCATAGCCAATGAAGCGTGTGATGTATCTGTATAACACACTAAGAAGACTGTATCTTCTTATACACACACAGAAACTGTAGAGGACTTGAAATCAATTGGTAAAAACATACCTTATACATAGACTGCAGAAAACAAGCAAAGATTTAATTTTTATTATCCCCTATGGAGCTCCGTTGGCAGGAACTTAATTCCCATTAAATCAGTGACTCCTGAAAGTCAAAGGCTGACTCTACATATCCTCTCATTAGGCTAAAAGCTGGACCGTGAGCAGGAAGGGCAGGAGATCGTGACAGAGGATCAGGACTCTCGCTCAAAGTTTTGACTTTGGTGGGTGAGTTATGCTGGCACAAATACACACAAAAAGAAGTGTACTGTCAGCAGCAAGGTGAGCCTGGTCTGTGGATGTAAGTCATGTCATACACTCACAGCAAAGTGAGCTACACAAACACAAACACACACACCTGCACGCAAGCACACACGCACGCTTACAGCCTTACATGCAGCTTTGAAAGCTGGCAGATCCAGCCATGGACAGCTGGTCACACTCTATCCTGGGTCACAGCGAGTGGGCAGAACTGGCTCCATGCTGTGTGCCAACTTCCACTCCTGAAAGAGAGTATGGTATGTGTGTGTGTGTGTGTGTGTTTGGGGGGGGGGTCAGTTTGTGAATGTGTGCTTAGACCTACAGATGGATCCTTAAAGGCACTCCAAAGAGGCCTGATAGACTCTATCCTATTTCCTCTCCTGCTGTGCTTGGGATTAGCAGGACTTTTTCTGCAAGGTACTGGGACGATCCATACTTCTGAGGAAATACTGTGTACACACACACACTCACTAAAGCGCACACACACATATAAAAAATACACTGACACACTGCATGTCTTTAAAGAGACTCACTGAGCCACTGTTTGCTCATCAGTCATTCTGTTGGACGTCCTCCTGGAAACATCAGTCGATTAACTGTGCACTATACGCTGACGACTATGTGCTGAGTACTGACAGGTATTTTTTGTGTGTGTGTAGAATGCATTAATACATGTGCAGACACGTCTCATTGTCAATAACTTGGCAACCCATGAGGAGGGAGGCAGATAAGAAAACAGAGAAAAACATTTAATTTTTTTTTTTTTTTACACAGCATCACCGTCAGAGCTCAGACTGTTGGTGTGTAAAACGGCAGGTAAAAACACAAAGTGTATTTTGTGAAAGTTCAATGACTTCTTCATACACGGTGGTGTGGTGTGTACTATAGAGAGGGAGTTCAGAGTCGGTTTATTTAGAAGAAGTGGAATCGTTATTTACTTTCAAATTGAAATGTACACGTGTTCCAGGAGTTGTTTTGTTTAGAAAGCCTTCAGACTGGTGTTGACTCCAAGCTGTGGTTCTTATTTAGTGCTTCATCGTGACTTTAAATCCTACAGTGGTAGGAGGACGATAACACTAACAGTACTGACATGGTAATAGTGAATACTATGATGTGTATTATTTTTTTTAGACTGAAGAAGGTTGTGTTTAAATGTTTAACTAACAGACAGGATCTGTTCGTATGATCACACCTCTAGATATTAGTTATTTACATGTGACAACAGTGCCTTCCACAATGATGATACAAATTGCAACATCCTGCAAAGTATTCAACACCACACCATTATCTGTCACCTCACCATCACCAGAGTTAAACATTCAACAGTGTCTATGACGGAAATAATTTATTCGAGAAACTCTCATAATGGATTTGCACGTGTTGGTAGTTTCATTTCTTTTTTATTTCACTCACATTGTTAGGGTCAAACCCAGTAGATATGAGTGAGGGTGGGGCACAGAGTTGTCAGACTGACATCCA